ACACTATATTCCATTCATTATATATATTATTATATATACACTATATTCCATTCATTATATATATTATTATATATACACTATATTCCATTCATTATATATAAAATTATATACACTATATTCCATTCATTATATATATTATTATATATTGTACTCAACGTATTCTTCATATATATATATACACACACTATATTCTTTATACACTACACTATATTCCATTCTTTATATATATATATACACACATTATATTCTATTCATTGTATTCTTCATATATATATACACACTATATTCCATTCATTATATATAAAATTATATACACTATATTCCATTCATTATATATATTATTATATACACTATATTCCATTTATTATATATATTATTATTATATACACTATATTCCATTCATTATATATATTATTATATACACTATATTCCATTCATTATATATAAAATTATATACACACTATATTCCATTTATTATATATATTATTATATACACTTTATTCCATTCATTATATATAAAATTATATACACTTTATTCCATTCATTATATATAAAATTATATACACACTATATTCCATTTATTATATATATTATTATTATATACACTTTATTCCATTCATTATATATAAAATTATATACACTATATTCCATTCATTATATATATTATTATTATATACACTATATTCCATTCATTATATATATTATTATATATACACTGTATTCCATTCATTATATATATTATTATATATACACTATATTCCATTCATTATATATAAAATTATATACACTATATTCCATTCATTATATATATTATTATATATTCTACTCAACGTATTCTTCATATATATATATACACACACTATATTCTTTATACACTACACTATATTCCATTCTTTATATATATATATATACACACATTATATTCTATTCATTGTATTCTTCATATATATATACACACTATATTCCATTCATTATATATAAAATTATATACACTATATTCCATTCATTATATATATTATTATATACACTATATTCCATTCATTATATATAAAATTATATACACACTATATTCCATTTATTATATATATTATTATATACACTTTATTCCATTCATTATATATAAAATTATATACACTTTATTCCATTCATTATATATAAAATTATATACACACTATATTCCATTTATTATATATATTATTATTATATACACTTTATTCCATTCATTATATATAAAATTATATACACTATATTCCATTCATTATATATATTATTATATATACACTATATTCCATTCATTATATATATTATTATATATACACTATATTCCATTCATTATATATAAAATTATATACACTATATTCCATTCATTATATATATTATTATATATTCTACTCAACGTATTCTTCATATATATATATACACACACTATATTCTTTATACACTACACTATATTCCATTCTTTATATATATATATATACACACATTATATTCTATTCATTGTATTCTTCATATATATATACACACTATATTCCATTCATTATATATAAAATTATAAACACTATATTCCATTCATTATATATATTATTATATACACTATATTCCATTCATTGTATTCTTCATATTATACACTACACTATATTCCATTCATTATATATAAAATTATATACACTATATTCCATTCATTATATATATTATTATATACACTATATTCCATTCATTATATATATTATTATATACACACTATATTCCATTCATTGTATATAAAATTATATATTCCATTCATTATATATATTATTATATACACTATATTCCATTCATTATATATAAAATTATATATTCCATTCATTATATATATTATTATATACACTATATTCCATTCATTATATATAAAATTATATACACTATATTCCATTCATTATATATTCCATTCATTGTATTCTTCATATTATACACTACACTATATTCCATTCATTATATATATTATATATTCTACTCAATGTATTCTTCATATATATATATATATATATATATATACACACTATATTCCATTCATTATATATAAAATTATATATTCTATTCATTGTATTCTTCATATATATATACACACTATATTCCATTCATTATATATAAAATTATATATTCTATTCATTGTATTCTTCATATATATATACACACTATATTCCATTCATTATATATAAAATTATATATTCTATTCATTGTATTCTTCATATATATATACACACACTATATTCTACTCTTTATATTCTTCATATTATATATATATACACACTATATTCCATTCATTATATATATATTATTATACACACTATATTCTACTCAATGTATTCTTCATATGTAGAAAGGCCATTAGGCCTGAATTTGTGGGAGGAGTAAGTCCCCTACTTAAGCTCCCAGCCCCTACTCACCGCTGCCGCTCAGCTGATTGTCCTTAGCAACCAGCACTTCCGGTCCAGCTTCCCGCTAGAACTGTACCTGTTTCCAGCAGCCAGTCGCCCTGTGCAATCCTCCGTCCGTCCGAGGTCCTTCCACTCCGTTTCCCTCCGGTCGAGGTACCCGACTTCCGGTCACGAGACCGGCGCGTTCACGTAAGCAAGGCGTGGGAATTAGCGTTCGCTATTTCCCCGCCGTTCGGGCCTAAAAACGTAGGGGTAGGCTCCCTCTTTCGCATTTTCACGAATACACGCTTTTCGTTAATATCTCCATTCGCGCCAAAAAACGCACGAACGTTCGGCTCATTTCGCTATCATTTAATGCATTTTCGTACGGAAACAACCGAATGAATATTTCATGTTTATGCTCATTATTATCTGTATTCACTTTTTCCGTTCGGTTATTTCAGCACTAACCTATTCGTATGGTTAAATTCACAAACACCATCTTACTAATTTACATTCGGTTATTTCTATTCTTTTAAACTAAGCATGCATAAGTTCTAATCACAGTCCTACTATTATTTATTCCTTCATATCAGTTTGCGGTTACATTATATGGTTAACTACCAGCCCTGTGTTTTCCTACCTTGTTAAACCATTTAAGTATTTTTCTGTAATAAACATAATGTTCACCACGGTTCTTAACTTCATACGTATCTAAATTCAAGCTATACCATTCTTTCCAAATAACACTCAGATAAGTCATTTAAACACTATTTACAAGTTATACCCTTTACACATAATCCGTACTATTCCTTGCACATAAATCACGCTGTCACATTTTTGGCTTTTACAGATTGCATCGGTCTCTTGCTTTTCTGCATTAAAGTTGTTATTTCAAGGTCCTTTTATTACAGGAACAGGTATGGTTTATTATCACCTTGATTTATCAGGTTTTATCAATTATCTTCACATCTATTGCTAAATAGGAAATTTGTCTTGGTTAAACCCTTAGATCCTGTACTAATCTAAGCTTCCACCGTTTCTACGCAGTTAACCTGCCACGATTAAACAATCTCTGTACTTTAAACAAAGGTATAGTTCACTCTCTTTTCAATACTAGACCTCACGCGGTCTCAACTCCATTACTACCTTCCCTCAGGCTTACGCCCAGGATACGTTATCTCTTTACTACTTGTCTACACAGACTTTCGGTCATACGGCCATCAGGCTCAGAAGACACCAAAAACCTGACCCGGTACTCAGCCATACCTTCAGGTACTTACATCCTTACTCAAGTACGTTCATTCGCTACCCCAAGGCCTCATTCTGCCTTCTCACTCATATCCAAAATCATCCCATTCCTACACCTAAACCTCCCAGATCCCTCAATGCAGGATCTCACGTGGTGCCCCTAACAAACCTTCTCCCTATACTATTCATACGACATCACGATACGTATAAACACATCAACATCTGTCTTAAACCCCCAGGATTCTTCCTCAAAGACAACATTTAAGACAAGACTCTCTACACTTACCAGGAGGCTCCAGATACCATTTGCGACCAGTCAAGGTTAGTATCCACACACCACTCCAGTCCTCTAACTTTACCCTTTAGCATACTATCGAACTGGCTATACGGCACAGGTTAATGCCTTAGCCCACCCTATCAGGAAATCTGATCCCGCGAGGCCTACCACCCCCACCCCACCTCAACACGGAGGTACGGCCCCACGCCCAAATCATAGTTATAA